GGACTGAGCTGAGCGCCAATGCGCCACGTTGAACTGTCGCCACCAAATTCTGCCGTTGCCCTGGAATCGCGCGATCGGATGGTATAGGTCAGGGCTCACAGAACTTAGCGTGAGCTAAGGTCCCAGAAATTCATTAGCTCAAAAGGTTAAGGTAAAATCTTTTAAAAGAAATATGGGGCAATTTCTGCTGCCCTCTGGAATTTGACGCTAATCAAAATTAGATGACTCAGGGGCCTTCGTGGTGCCTCTCTAGAAGTGGACGCCTCTTCAAAATACAGTTAGAGATGCCCGAAATGACGGCATCGGGTATATTTTTGACGAGACGTCCAATTTAGGGTTTTGTGTGGGCGGGAGACACAGAAGTTGCATTGCCCCTGATTTCGGTGCCCTCTGAAAATGAGAAGGTTGTGGTCTTCAAAACTAAATCAAGATATAGGTCATGGTGCCACAAAATATAAGTTTTTGTGAAGCATCACCGATAGACCAATCACAGATTTCACCTATAGGTCGGTGCGAACAGAAGCGTTCCACTGGCATTTTTTGCCTCTGGAAAATAATCGTTCTAGGACGCATCGTGCTGCTTCCCGGAATTAGGTGCAGGCTTAGATAATGTTTATGGTACTCCACAATGAAGGTTTTGTGGTGTCTCTTTTGCGGAAGGGGTAGATCAATGATTTGGTCACGGTGGAAAGCAACAAATCGTGTGTTCCTTAAAAGGAAGGTTTCGCGACCCTTTCAATGGCCCACTTGGACTTGTTGCCTGCAACAAATTATTGGTTTGGTGCGATGACATAAAGGTTCTGTTGTCCCTTCGCCGAATGGAGCGATCTATGATTTCGTCAATGGAGCGCCACGGTATTACAATCTACCCTGAACTTTGTCGTCTATTAAATATAAAAACTTTGGGACCATTTGAGGTGCTCCTGGAATAAGCCGCCTCTCGAAGATGCAGATCGTGATTCCCCAAATGGAAAGAAATTGGTGCCACTTACCAAACAAAAAAGCGCGGGCCGATCAGGAATTTCATCTCAGAGAAACGCACAGAAACTCCTCAGTGCCTCCTGATAGACTGAAGGTCGTTAACCCAACGTAAGAACTTTCATGACACTGAAAAACCAGGAGTTAAAGAGCTTTCTGTTTTATATTAAGTCCAAATTATGCCAGCAGAGTAACGTGGACAAAGTTCGTGAAGAAATGTGTCGTGGATAAAGAATGGGCAAGGTTCATAAGTTTGACCCTCCAAGAAAAAACGGAAAGCTAAACCTCTGTGACTCAGTAAATTTTGACGATCGTGCAGTTTCTGGGTAAAACAGCCAAGGTGCATGCTTCCTCAAGACGATGATCGAAAAGGCGAAAAATAAAAGAGAATGTGCTGACGTGTCAATGTACTTCCGTTTTCAGTACCGCTGTCTCTCATCCCTAACCACGACACTTGGCCGCGGCCATTAAAGCCAGCACGCCTCTGCACTGTAACTGTCAAATTACGTAACGCCGATGTGCCGCCGCCACCGCGCCGCAGTCGGAACGGCTTTTCATTACGCAGTGACTTATATGTCTGCAGCTTACACGTACTGCTCCATGCCATGTCACATCGAACAGTGACGGGCGCTTTCGGACCGCCGGTTCTTTGGCTGACACCACGCTTCGCTGCCTCCAAGCAGTTCCGGCTATTTCACGACAAAAGCTGTGTTGCCCGGCAGTGTGATACGGGAGAGCGGGCCTCATGGAGGCATTGACGCATGATTTGTGGTGGCATTCCTGGTCGCCACCGCGGACCGGACCGTTACGGTGTGGCCGTGACCGCGTGACGACAATGAGGCAAGGCCGAAAGCGCGGCCCAGGCCACTCAGGCCGCCTTGTCGGGGCAGGGAGGGGACGGAGACAAAACCCCGGCCCCAGCTACCCGACTCCGCATGATGGTGGGAGACGGCGCTGAACTCCGTTCCGGGGCATGTACTTTGGCTCACTCTGGGGCCACAGTACATGCCCCGGAAGGGGCAGAGGGTTCTTGACCAGGCATCGAGCTCAATTTTGAAACGTTATGAAGAAAAGAACTCCGTCTGCGTGACCGAGAGCTGCGGGTTCATAACATAATTGCCGATAGGTGTTCAGCACCACTCACCGTCGCAAAAATCCACTCCACTTCCTGTTCCGCGGGTTCCGCCTTCCGCCTGCTTCGCCTGGCACCTTTCCAGCACCTCAAATTCCGTTCCGTAGGCTCGCCATATCTCCCACCGTTCTGTGGGCTCACCCCACCCGCGGATCCTCCCCACCTCGCGCCGTTCCGCGAGTCCAGGCCAGCTTCCGCAGCGTCGCTCCCACGCGGCCGACGAACGGGCCGAGCGCCGGCCCGGGCTTGGGACGACGCCGTGTCGATACCTGGGAGCCTGACAGGAGGCGGGGACCATCCTGAGAGCCTATCGGATGGGGAGAGCTGTGCTGGGAGACGATCGGACGAAGAGAGTCGACCAAGGAGCGGGTCGGATGGAGTCGGTCGAGCGGGTGGGCTGTCGCGGGAGCCTGTCCGGCGAACAGGGCCATCCTGGGAGCCTGTCAGGCGAACAGGGCTGTCCTGGGAGCCTGTCTGGCGGGCAGGGCTGTCCTGGGAGCCTGTCGCACGAAGAGGGCCGTCTGGGAGCGGTGGCGCGGCGCTGCCGCTCCGGCCCCGCGCCCTCGGACAGCCGTGACGAATGCAGCGCGTCTTCAGGCGGCGCAGCCCGCGGAGAAGGCGACGCAGTGTCATTCCCAAAGCTAATCCGGCGGCTGATCTGCCGCTCCCATGTCAATGTGCTTGATTGACGACGACTAGTGCGGTTTTGCTGGTAAAAAAATACCGTTGGAGTTTTGGAATCCATGCCACAAGCGTCGTGTGTGTAATTGATTCTTTGTACAACAATTTCTAGGGGAAGTATTTGAGTTACATGTTCATAAGTATCAATACCGGCTGCTTTAGCTTAACTTCTATGAAAAAATGAGAAAATAAGGATTTAGCGACCCGTTTTTATGAATGTGATCCATTCAAAAACCTGCCATTTCACTGCGGGCAAATACAGGTACCGCCCTATGCAACAGGTATGGGGAAGTGATCAGCCCAGCACGAAATACATTCATAAAATATACTCGCAGTTTTAAATCTGAATAACAGTTGCCTCATGAGGGTTTTCAGAATATAGTGTGATGCCTCGAGACATTTTGAGAATTATTTCATTATTTCATAAGCCTTCTAGCCCTACCACCTATATTCGCTTCAACTAGAAATATGCATGAGAGACTATAGACAACCAGTTCACTGTTGAATGTACGTTAAGGGCGACGTGTTGTCGTCTTCGAATAAGCTTAACTATTACAGCTACGTTTGGAACATTGAGCAGCAACATTTGCTGCGCAGAGTGAGCAGTCGATACTTCTGGAGGACTTACATGTGCATTACTTCACCGGTGTTGTGGTGTTTAAGCATTAAGAACGGTTTCGCCAAGACATTAGCTGGCAAAACTTCGGTTGCCTGATGGCATGGCCGCGTGGGCACCCGCTGATGGTGTTCATGCGTACATCCACACACAATGACCTTAAAATATTAACATAAATAAAGGATCCACATGTATAGTGGGCGAGCTCGTGAACATGAGTGAGCTACGTTTTCCACTGCCGCATGCTTTGAATTTATTGACTACAGACAGAACGGATAGTTATAAAGAATGACGTCCTATAATCGCATCAATAACCGACGTCACTGACCCGCCATTGCGCTGTACTGATCATTACTGACATTCATTTCACTGCCTTGCTTTGGTGGCCAGGTCAGAGGGCTCACCCGAGCCACTGGAAGCACCGTGCCGCCTCAGCATGTGCACTTTGACCCACATCCACCGTATGGATGTCCCTGAAGGTCGTCCAGCGTCTCTTTCCGCTTCCCGCGGTGCCTATTTTTTTCCGGAGTCTGGAGCCTCATTAGGGCGAGGTAGGCGACCCCGCAAGAACGGCGCCGGGCGCGCGCGCAAGAAGGGCCTGCTGGTGAATGCTGTCTGGCCCGTGCAGATGTAGTTGGAGCGCAGGAGAGCAGAGAGAGAGAGAGAGAAGAGAGAGAGAGAGAGAGAGAGAGAGAGAGAGAGAGAGAGAGAGAGAGAGAGAGGGAGAGAGAGAGAGAGAGAGAGAGAGAGAGAGAGAGAGAGAGAGAGAGAGAGAGAGAGAGAGAGAGAGAGAGAGAGAGAGAGAGAGAGAGAGAGAGAGAGAGAGAGAGAGAGAGAGAGAGAGAGAGAGAGAGAGAGAGCAGGGGAGCAGGAGAGAAGCTTGGGGACAATCGTTTCGGCGATCTACAACCACGGTCATGTGTCCGTAGTCAAGAAGCAGGAGACAGGTGGAAGTGATCGTTTGATGGGAATGTGCGGGGTAGCCGCTGACCGCTTCGATAAGGAAGGCAGCAAATTTAAGGCAATTATGTCACTGTCACACATCACCTGAGATGGACAAGAAAGATCACATAATTGAGGCAGAGGAATACATTGATTTAGAGAACTTAGGGCGTGATAAATGTTACATAATGACTACACTGGCACTATTAGTGAGCTTATTAGTCCGGTTACTGAGATCAAGTAGCTTAGTGGTAAGGTCTGGCATAAGAGCAAGCCAAACCTGGCACACGTCCTAATGCAATGCAGGCTTGGTATGGGTCGGTATGACTGTTGACCACGGGTCATGCCAGCTATGATCAAAACATTTTCAGACAAAAAGACATTTAAACCTGCTGTCTTTATCTTTTCCACTGATGGGACCACTGGGTTGAAGAAGAGGTCGTGACCATCGCCGAACAGCTCGAGCCATCGCCCAGAAGTCGGCAGGCCGACCCGGCCAGCTCCGGTCGCCGGCACCGGGACCGGCCGCGTGGAGCAGCGCGTGCCCTTGTTGCCCGCGCGGCGGCCGCGGCGGCGCGAGCGGCGCACCGTTCGAGTAAAACGGCGCCGCGTCCGCCGGCCCGTCGTCACTGCGCGTCGCGTGCTCGTGTGGGGAGGAGACGACTGCTGCCGAGAACCCGCCGGAAACCCAGGTCAGTTGGCGGCGCGGACTTCGGGCGCAACCTAGGAAACCAGAACTCGCTGCCGTGAGCGGGTAATTACAGTTGTGTTAAAGCCCATTCATGGATATGTCGCGGGCTGACGCATCGGTTGTAACCAGCCGTCGTTTTGAGATTGGTGGTCCCCTTGGCTCCATCTACGGGAATTTATGTGCTACTGCAGCCATTTCATGACAACTTCAATCCAACAAACCTGGCGTAATGGATTTCGCGCTTGGATAGTCAATGTCTTTACGGCGGGTGCTCTTCTCACTGAGCCTTCCAGACGGTCTTCAAATTTCTGGAGAGCCCTGAAGTGTCCTGAGCAGACACAGGCGCGCAGCCAGAGGGCAAGGAAGCACCCACACACTGGTCGAGGGATGCCTGTACCCCTAAGCTGATATTTTTACGCCAGACACTGGGCGATTTCGCAAGCATTTGGTCCAATTTTGCAATGTTTCGGAGACAACTGGACATCCCCTGAGGAAAACTTTGGTTTTGTGCCTGACCAGACATGTTCTCTCCACCGCCGATCCATCTCCAAATCTCTCAGCACCTCTCATCCCGGTGAGCGCCGGCGGCGACACGGCAGCGCCAGGCAGCCGTGACAAACGAACGGCCAGACATTCCGCCGTCTGCCCCGCTCCCGCGGGCCGGGCGTCACTCGAGCCCCGCTCCCGTGGGCCGGACCTCACTCGAGCCTCGCTCCCGTGGGCCGGGCATCACTTGAGCTCCGCTCCAGGCAGCACAGTCAGGCGGCGGGCGTGGGAGGTCGCGAGTTCATGCACCCTGGTGCGCGCGGCGGCCAAGGTCAGGCGCGAGCGTCAGCTTCGCCGCATGCGGGTCGCCTCTGTCACGCTTCGGCGTCATCACTGTGAGTGAACCACTGCTACTGGCGCACATTCGAAGGCAGCTGAGCGCCAAACGGACCACGAGTGCAGCAACAGTGGCAAGTGCTCTTCGTCCGGGAGCCCTTAGGCGGCAGACATTGTTGATGATTCATCTCCAACGGGACTAGATGGATTCAGCTTATTTAGGATGGTGCTATCGGATGCTTATCTTTAAACGGGTTTCTTGAGGCACTTAATGTCGCCCATTTTGAAGCTCTTTTATGAAGCATCGCGTCCTTGTCAATAAAAAGCACGCCTTTGATATAATAGTATGATAAAGTGTTGGAACAGGTCAGGTCTGATAAGGGCAAAACCCATAAATCCTCTTAGAAAACAACATACTGCAGGTTTAGCTGTCCCGACACCCGATTTTAAACAAACAGGACAGCACTGCAGTTCCGTATAGTGCGGCATTCTTGGCAGATTGTGTGGTGTTCACCGTCACAGATTCCACCGGGTTTGGATTCCGCCTTGAATCTGCAAATTTTGCATTAAGCCTGTGTCGCATACCAGCCGTTTAAACTCCAGAATGGTTCTGGGCTCCATATCTCTCTGAACGTATTTATACAGCACTGTCCACAATCGTGCATGGAGTACCATCGGTTGGTGGTCCCAGTGACCATTGTCCGCGAAGGGTCGATCACGGATTACCTACCCGAAGTTCCGGCATTTTTTCAAACAAGCCATGTATTTCGTGTATGTATGTATCTGCGCCGTCAATATTCCAGTCCACACTTCAATCAATCAGTGGCTTAGCCAAGGGGATTTTGGGGTTCTGTTTCCATCTCCTTCCATCCGGAGGAGATAGGGGCAGGGGACTCCTCCCTCCGGGGTGCCCCCCTCCCCCCCCGCCCGCCCCAGCCCCACCGGGCCAAAAGTCCCAGTACATTCTGGCAATTAAGACACCCGTAAGGCTTCTAAAATACAGAAAGCGTGCTCGCGACGGATTAGAATAGTATGCAGAAACTGAGAAACCCGTCCAAATCCCGACACAGCGTCCATGTAGCAACGAAGAGATCCTTCCTTGGCTGAATTGATCGACGCGATTTGGCCACTCATGGACAAGCTCTGGCCACGCTACTTGCTCCCACAAACGTGCATCGGATGCGTAACGTCGCATACCACGAGCGGGCGTTATTCGCTTGAACCCTGGGGCCAATTCTAATAATCTCGCTCCCAGAGACTGCATCCACTTCCGGTCGAAGCCTCTCAGGGACGATAGCATTGCCCGGCTATCACTATCGGGCAAATCTGCTCGGCTGCCAGGAAAGCATGTCACGACCGGGATCCGGAATCCGCCACGGGGATTCCCTATGAGACAATGAATACCATGCGCATTTAGATGAGGTCCGAACCGCGGCGCAGAGTCCAGATGCCCCATCCGGCGCGCACATACCGACATGAGACGGCGGCTGGGGCCTGAAACACGACGCCATTCAGGTCACGAGGCAGCCGAACACTGGCCAGCCGGCCCGGCCAGCGCCGCGCCGGGTCCGGGGCGCAAGCGCGTCTGCGTGGCGGCGGCCGAGCGTCCCAGGTCGAGCCGGACCGCGCGGCGGCGAGGCGGCGCTAATCGCCAGCAGCGGTGACAAGTGGTGTCACGGCTGGCGGGCGCGCGGCGGCGCGGCGCCGCCGGACCGCCGCCGCCGTCACCCGGCGCCGGCCGCTCGAGACGCGCGCGAAAAACATCCGCCGCGGCACCCATCTGTCAGGGCGGTCCTGCGGCGGCAGCCCGGGCCCGCCCCTCGGCGTGAAGCGCGGGCGTGACCGGCCCGGAGCGGGTCGGAGACCGGGTCGCGACCGCTCACGGGACCACCCTGGGTCCCGGGACCCCGGCCAGACGGTGGCGTGCGTGCGACGGCCCGGTCACGTGGCGGCGTCCAACCCAACGCCGACGGGGCTGGATGGCGCGTGGCGGCCGCGATTGCTGATAAGGACGACCTGCTGGTAAACACGCAGATACAAAGAGCGTACACCGTCCGAAACGCATCCGGGAGATGCCGACGGCTGTGACAACGTCTCGTGATGAGAGGACGAGCCATTCACGAGGATGCTGGTCAGCGCTGACGGTCGGGAGTAGTGTAAGCCACGTTACATAGTTCATTTCAACCGTGCTTATGAGCACTGCTCGGTTAGGTTCCGCCTGCGGCACTCATGGCGTGCTGCCCCGCGCTGCGTGGCGAGAGAGCCTTGGTTTGGGTCGGCGGCTGAGGACACAGCCGCGGCCGCCAGCCCGCCTGTCCTGCTGTCCCGGACGTGACGGCACCACGGGCGGCAGGAAGACGAAGGAAGGGTGCCCTAATCGCAGTGGAGCCCCGTGACGCCCGCGGCCGCCTGGTGACGCCCGGCCGCTCCGGCCCCAGCCGACCGCCGACCCCTGGCCAGGTCACTGACCAGGCCCGCAGTCGAACATCTCTCAGGGGAACCTGTTAAACCCGCCCTCGAGCCGGGAGGCTTAGAGTGATTCGAGTCAACAGACCAGGCCGTTGTGTGCCCGCCGCAGCTCGCGACAGCACTTGAAGCAGACCGTTCACTGGTTTGCTGCGTGTTGTATGGCAGACCGGAACGAAACGCAATCGGCAAAAATGAGACGGAACTCCGCGTCATCAATTCGCACTTGACACTGCGCGCTTTGTGCAAGTAAGATGAATCCCGCGATTCGTAGGCTCCGTCATCTAAAAAATGTTGGCGGTTTTAGAAGAAACGTTTCGCGTTCATGGACATTTAACATTTACCAAGCATGACGGAATGCGACGGTGGAAGTCACTTCATGTGTGCTGCTGCTGGTCTAGCTGGACTATGCTACACCAGCAATGCCATGCTGATGGTACCACTTGTTGTGCCATCCAGCACGAAAAGGCTAAATTTCAACCATTAGAAAAATAATCTCCAGCATGTTTTAATGTATGATGCCATTGTACATGTTTTTTGTTTCGTAAGATGACGCCACACTCGAGATTTTGAATGAATACAAGACTGCGTGCTGATTTTAGCGTGGCAGGCGTCATCGATGCTCCATATCTGTAAAAAATGTGCATTAGCGCATCAATTCCTTACTCGTTAAATCATTTCTCGTATACTGCTTTCATTGACGTACCGTCGTTTTTACATCATTATCAATGTTGCCAGCATGCCGGCAAACGATTTGAAAAGCAAAATAAAGCTCTAACCATTTGATGTTAAGGCCTGCAAAGAGCATTTCCTAAAACATCTCTGAGCATCATATCAACAGGGATTCGCGTAGATCTTGCAGCATTCTACAATTCGGCTATTTCGATCTGAAACGTGACACAATGGTGGAATATACCTTTTGGCAGTCGCAGTGAGTCCTAGGTACCATTGCTTTTATATCGAAATTTTCACTGCGATGCGTGGATCTCAACCGTCTATTTCATTAGCATCGCATGACGCTAAAAATAACGTGTCTAAATAAAGCGCCATGTCAGTGAGCCCAGCCGGCCATAATTGATAGGCATCCACTCATACCCACACGTGATAAACAGACAGCGGCTGTAATTGTCTGGTCCGTTATCGGAGCCAGCGGATCGCTTCCTCGTGTATTCGCTGGTTACCGTCCGACGCAGTCGGCTGTGACCGGCCGATGAAAGCGAACAGCCTCGCCCAATCACGCCACCACAGGGCTCTCAGGGAGCCGGGAGGCTGGAGCGGCGTGGAGAGCCGGCGCAGCGGTGTGATGGGTCAAACGCAGGTGTCGGGCTCGGCACGACAAGCTACGAGACAAGACGACCACTTCGGTTGATGTCAATGTCTATGCCAAATGTCCGTTGCTAGCAATCGCCCGCAGTTGGTGGCGGTCGCTAACAGCCAACACCTCACCCCCCCCCCCCCCTCCCCCTCGGAGCCGTGCAGCTCGGAACTCGACCGGTGGCGGCGACGGGAGCCGGCGACGGGAGCCGGCGCGAATCGGCGCACTCCCACGAGCTCCGTTAGGTGGCCGCGCTGCCGGGCTCCGGCTTCCGGCCGGGCGTGCGGCGGGAGCACTGGCCAAATAACGACTCGACGGCGGCCGCGCGAGCCGCGCGGCACTGCGTGCGGATCGCGACACCCCCGCAGCCGTGCGCTCCAGCGGGGCCCGCGTGCCAGCCGGAGCCGAGGCGGCCGTACCGCCCCGTCAGCTGACGTTTGTCACGCTCGAGACCGACGCTTCGGTCGGAGGTCCCGCTCTTGGTGTGACACGGTCCCAGTGATCCGTCGTATTAGTGCATCTCAATTACGGTCCGCGGTTATGTTTGAGATGGGACGATCATTGCGTACTGCAATTTTACAAAAAACGTATATTAGATTAATATAAAAAATCGCATTATAACAGCATAACTGCATCGCGGTGATTACTGACAAGAGTACTATGAAGAGTGAAAAATAAATCCCTGAAGGCATGTCGAGCCACCACCAATCAACAAGACCGACCTCTGTTTCCGCCTCACATGGCCTGCATCATCTCGTGGCCATCTGCAGGCGGTGGACTCCGGTGGCAAAAGTTCAACGGCCGTGTCCGAGTGAGCGCGACCCGTCAACAGCCGTGCCGGGCCGGGCCGCACGGGCGCAGCCAACGGCGCTGATTTCCATATAGCCATGCCGGCCGGAGCCGCCCGCCGGTCGTTGCTCCTACCCGGTCTCGTGTGAGTCAGTGGTGTCCCGCCCGCGTGCGCGCGCCGCCCCGTAACGGTGCCCTGCATTCGGCAGGCCGACCGGACGCGACCCGGGCTGACCCGGGCTGACCTCGCTCACCGTTAGCGGCGCGCCGCGCCCCGCCCGTCTGGGGAGCCGAGCGGCGACGGGTCGCGGGGCGGCCCCGAACTATTGTTTGCCTCCGCCGCGCGGCGCCAGTTCGGAATGTCGTAAATCTGGCGCCGCGGTGGCGGTCGGGGGGGTGGGGGCCCTGGGGCGTCTCTGCAGGTCAAAGAGGTCACTGGGACGGGTGGAAGACGCCGAATGGGTGGGTGAGCGGTGCACGGGTTGTGCAACGCGCCCTGGAGTGTGGGCCCACCCCACTGACCGTGGTCAGCACTCATTACCGTAGTCAGGCACGGGCGGAAATAGCTCGGAATCCGCGGCAGGCACCTGGAACGAGCCTGGGCGACGTGCAGCCAATCAGAAAGAGGAGCTGATGCACATGTTGCACATTTTGCCAGCTATGTTTAAACACCTGACTGTCTGTCGTTTGGCTGTAACAGAACATTCGGAAAGCAAGATAGGAGCGCACAAAATGATGAGGCACTTACGTCCCGTTACGCTTAGCGACGCGAACGTGACGATTTCGTCGTCGCCGGAACAAAAACGATGACTGGCTTTCCTGACCCGATCTTTGGAACACCACCATCAGCGAATCAGTATTCACGGCAGGAGAGCCCTGTCAAAGCGGCGTGATGTCATGAATCGGCAGCACTTCCTGGTGCGGTCAGCCGGCGTCACGACGACCGGCCCCATCTGGCGCACGCCACCGCACCCCAATCCGTTCGGAGCCCGGCACATCCTGCACGCCGTGCAAACGCGCGCGCATGCCGCCGTTTTCCTGCTCTGCCGGCGGCGGCGCGCGCAGTCGCCGTAACGGTGCCGGCCTCTCCAGGCGCCGTCTGCTCGGTCAAGGTCACCGCTCGGCCGTTGACCCTGGCCGGCCGCCGCCTCCGGAGCCGTCGGCGGCGCGCGCGCGGCGGAGCACGACCGCAGCCAGCCATCGATGCCGCCAGCTGCTGCCACGGCTCGCATAACTTTCTTCGGCGAGTTTCGTTTTTAATCAGCGACGCGACCGTCGGCCGGTTGATCGCGGACTGGAGAGAGAGAGAGAGAAGAGGGGGGGGGGGTATGAGGGATTGAGGGAGAGCGAGAATGGAGAGACTATCTATTTTAATGAGAGTAGTGAGGAGAGAGGACTGAGAGAAGAGAGAAGAGAGAGAGAGAGAGAGGAGAGAGAGAGAAGAGAGAGAGAGAGAGAGAGAGGAGAGAGAAGAGAGAGATAGAGAGAGAAGAGAGAGAGAGAGAGAGAGAGAGAGAGAGAGAAGAGAGAGAGAGAGAGAGAGAGAGAGAGAGAGAGAGAGAGAGGGGGGGATGTGGGAAGACTGGAGGAACGGACTGTGAGCAGACTGCATTGAACTGGAAAGCACTGGAGAGATATGATGTGATAAGGCTGGAGAGCACTGGAGAGAGAGAGGATGTGAGAGGACTATAGAAAGAAGATGTGAGTGGAGTAGAGAGGACTGGACTGAGAAGTGATATGAATGGACTCTAAACCGATCGGAACTTACGGGGGCTGTGTATTGGGACCCGCTCTCACCACCACGCTCCTGGGATCCGCTCTCACCACGCAGCGGCGGCGGCTCCGTACAGCGGTGCACGCCGACGTCGGACGCTGCGGTTGGCGCGGGCGGCATCCAGCACCTGTTGCGGTTCGACTGCAGCCAGACGGGGCTGCGGCGGGTCAGACTCAGCCAGCCGGTGACTCCGGGAGTCTCGGACTCTGGCGGCGGCGGTCAGCACGTGCCATGCGTGAATGCACGGCCTGCGTGCGCCTGTCGAGCCCCGTGGGCATGCGCCGGGTCGCCGGCCGGTCGCGTTCTCTTGTCAACAGCGGGGCAGCGACCGTCGCAAACCGGATCGTACCGGTGGCCTCTGCGGAGGCCGGGCGCCGGCTGCTGAGGAGACTGCAGCGGTGCACAAACCGCCAGCCAGCGCCGGCGGGGCTGCGCAGGCGCGCGGAGCATGCAGTCCGGCACACAACACGACCGCGCGGCTGCGTGAGGCGCAGAGGGAGGTGGGGGGAGGGGGGAGGGGGCTCCCTCGGTCCTCATGGTCCAGTTGGCTCCTGGCGGCAAAACATCTGATCAGACAATTTGCTACGGAGGCATTAGCTTCTCGCGTGCGTGTCCGATGGAGAGGGAAGGACAGCAGGTGTGTAATAATCCTACTTGGCGTCATGCCATGTTGTTCAAAAACTGGCTAATGGATCATTTCCTGTCGGTGGATCTTCCCCGCAGCGGTCGTCCTTGGTGAATACCATGAGACCAGGCAATTAAGTGTCCCCATAAAGAGGGCCACAAGACGCAGGATATGCGAACAGGCAGAAGAAAAGGCACATAGATTTATGAGAATTACATAGGTATGTTACAGGTACAATAATCTCCAAAACCAATGGCCATTAGCTCTACAGTAGTCTCGCGCTCTCTGAGACCATTTTAGTACCATCGCAAATATAATGTTAAGTGCCGAAATCATCGGGGGACTTTGCTCCCTAACCCCCCCCCCCCCCCCCCAAAGTCATGGCAGTGGATGACCGTTGGCTTTCAATAATGCTCACTTGCAATCCATCGTTTTGTTAGCCATAAAACGAACTAGGTTTTAATTATGAAGAGTCTATGCTTACCGATTTTAAATTTATGCTAAAAGCATTTTGATTCTTATGGTTTCCGCAACCAGCAACATCCCACCCGGGTTAACTTATCACGCCTGCAGCAAACAAAAGCAGCAAAACCACGGCTGTAGGAAATCTCTACAAAGGTGGCAGAGCAATTACCTTCTGATGTAAATTTACGGCATGCATCACCATAGCGGCATTGTTCAGCCTGCTTAAAAGTGGGGTCATGACCTACGGGTCCCTGTCTCTCATGCCTGCAGATGTAATACCCGGCCACGTGTACAGCACGTATTGAGGCGGCCGGCAGTGCCCCCGCCTCGCCGCCGCCAGAGCTGACCTGACGCCTCCGTTGCAGAGCACGATGCGGTCTGGCCTGCTGCTGCTGGTCTGCTGGGCGGCGCTGGCCGCGGCCCAGCAGGACTGCGCCGACGAGGACACCAGCTTCGAGCTGGTCACCGGCTACGTGTACAGCGCGCCGGCCGACATGCTGGACTCGCGGGCCGGCACGCTCATGCTCACCGAGTGCATCGACATGTGCCGCCAGAACTCCTCCTGCCAGGCCTTCAACTACGAGACTGGCCTCTGCGTGCTCATCGACTCCACCGCTGATGGTCAGGAAGGTACGAAAGCCGGAGCTGGGCCGCGAAGACTGGTGCTGGCTCCTGTGGGAGAGGGGTAGGTGGGGTTGCACGGGACGGCCGTGTGACCCCGGGGATTGTCCACATCGAGGCCCAGGCATGGATTACGCGAGTCAACCGGATGGAAATATTTGTTTTACCCCGTATACATAATTCTATGAAAAGCTTAATACGATGGCTTCAGCCGTTTTCCACGCGGTACAAATTTCGCATTTTGTTGGACGGCTGGTCGTTAGTGACATCAGACACCTGCTGTACAACTGGTTTGGGTTAATTTGGGCGGGATGGGTGGGTTGGTTCCAATTTCTGCCCGTCGAACGACGTCGTGGTGCTGCTTGGAGCGCATACCCTCCGTCGGTCCCTTTGATCCCCTTGGAAGCGAATCAGGACCCTCTTATTGTCCGACACGGCGGTCTTTTATTGGCCACCACGTCATCAGTTTGTAATAAATCTCCACAGATGATCCTCGCAGGTTACAACCACTCTTCGCTCGCCCAACTATTACGGTCTTCTGGGATAATGACTTCTCCCAAGGGGTGCTCTTGAAACCACTCTGGTGCACATTCCGCGCGCCAGCAAAAACAATAAGCTAGAGAGCGCTGTTCCCCATCTTTTTACCCACACAGCTTTCAACACAGTGCGGCGGTCCGAGCTCCATCCTCGTGTCACTGCATGAAGCACCTGTAGCCACGGAGGACGTCTGGGAAATATCGCGACCGCACGCACCGAGAGGATATGGACCGGGCTCTGACGAGGAAGGCCGGACCCGTCCTGCCGGACCCGTCATGAATGACTTTGGGGCGCAGCGAGCGCCCGGCACCCCAGGTTTAGTGTGCCGGGCGCTTCCGGCCAGCGTGACCTTGCTCTGTGGGCCACACATCGGACCGCAGAGCTCGACTGTACAATGGTGACGGACGGAAGGCCTGACCTTTGGTACCTCGCTCTTGACATGCGCGTGTAAGTACGAGGCGTGATTGTCTGATGACAACAGGGCGGTCTGTCAGTAAACGTCTCGAAGACAGCGGCATCGCCGAACAAGAGACCGCGTCTTAGAGGCCCATTTCCTGCCAAAGGGCCTTAAATGACTGAAGCTACTTTGGTGCCCGCATTATGCACATTTTGACCTTCACGTCAGCCATAATTTCAACAGCGGCGCCGTCTGCAGCCCAATCCGGCAGGGTCTGCCGGGGTCGACCTGCCTCTAATCGGCTGCTCTCGTCTCGGCGGCGCTAATGGCGCCCAATCTGTGGCACTTGGCGCGCTCGGACGAGCTCCGGCGCGCGGTCACCGGCCGCCAGCCGTTGACCTGAGCCGCGGCGCCGGACCAGGTGGCCGACGAGTAGCCGGCCGGGCCGCCGCAGCCGCCGCCGGCCAGCACCTGCAACAGATGGCGCGGCGGCGGCGGCCGACGCGCAGCCATCGGTGCGCTCGCCGAGAGCTGCTCACCGTGGCTAGACCGAGAGCTTCGGTTGTGTCCAGTCACCAGTCGGACCTCCGACGGGCTCCGCTGTCGGTGCTAGCTGGAAGACTCAGATGTTTGGGAATTCTCTATTAACAATGCACAGTTTTCAGCGAGCCTGCTGCGCCTAGGCGAGTCATTGAGAAACTGCATGTCTTGGTCTGCGGCCTATAATCAAGCGTTATATCCATGCATTAACTCGGCGTGCTCCTTCTTCATGCATGTGGTCAGGATCCGTCTAGTCTAATAAGTTTGCATACGATATGCTCCGATCTTTTTCATTCAGTGGGACAATTGGAGCATGAGCTTTTTTGAATAGTTTTTAAGTAGATCAGGAACCGGAAAATCGTTGCTGGGGTAAAGGCGTTGTAAGATGCGGCATATATGCTGGTTTATCATCAGTTTTACCATCTGGTTATCACTCTTTTGCCAGCCGTTGGGTTTTCTCGTCCAATATTTTCGTCAGATCAGTATGGGAGTGTCTGTTTTATCCAATTTTTTTGTTATATCAGGTGAACGAGAGGCACACAAGTAACAATATTTTGATTACTGGATTATTTCAGAACCCCACTTTCGCCCTGTCGCCCCAAAAGCAAATCATAAGATATGCTAGATAGGGACCAATCCTCCAGTCCGCTGTTATCTTTATCAATCTATGAGCTGGGTGGGCTTACCATGCGGCGTTATCGCATGGGCAAAATTATAGGGCCAAGGTACGGTGGGAGTGGCGTATCACAAAGAAGGTAGTCATTACGCATGAGCGCTAGTAGCTGGAGATCTCCACTTGTTCCAATTAACGGATGGATCGTGCACGCGCAAAGCACATCAGGAAGATTTGGTCGTGACCTTACAACCACCGCGCGGTAGTCACGAGCGGAGGCCGAGGAGCTGGACGCCCAGTGGCGACATTGGCATCGCTCCACGGTCGGTCTAAGCTCGTCAACACTTCAGCGCGTTCGATCGCAGCCGACCCGTGTCACGAAACCTTGATGACCTCGGCTGGCGTCAATCATTGTCCTTGAGCTGCGAGACGCCGCTACTGGTGATGGGAGCCGGCGCCGGAGGCCTCGGGCGGACCGTCACGTGGGCCTCAGGCAGACCATCACATGGGCCTCGGGCGGGCCGTCACGTGGGCCTCGGGTGGGCCGTCACGTGGGCCTCAGGCTGGCCATCACGTGGGCCTCAGGCTGGTCATCACGCGGGCCTCGGGCGGGTCATCACGTGGGCCTCAGGCTGGCCATCACGTGGGCCTCAGGCTGGTCATCACGCGGGCCTCAGGCTGGTCATCACGTGGGCCTCAGGCTGGTCATCACGTGGGCCTCAGGCTGGTCATCACGTGGGCCTCAGGCTGGTCATCACGTGGGCCTCAGGCTGGTCATCACGTGGGCCTCAGGCTGGTCATCACGTGGGCCTCAGGCTGGTCATCACGTGGGCCTCAGGCTGGTCATCACGTGGGCCTCAGGCTGGTCATCACGTGGGCCTCAGGCTGGTCATCACGTGGGCCTCAGGCTGGTCATCACGTGGGCCCCGGGCGGGCCGTCACGTGGGCCTCGTAGCCGCGAAGCGCACCGGTCCGGTCCCGGCGCGAGGTGTCGGCGGCTCAGTCAGGGGCCGAGCCCGCTGATATCCCGGCGGGAGGGCGGTGGAGAGCAGCCACGCGGCGCAGGCGAACTCCAGAGGCGAGCGGCCTCCCGCGACAGCGTCGGAGACGGAGACAGTGCTCGGCGTCAGACTATAGCGCCCGTCCCGCCCGACTGAACACACGGCTCTGCGCCGCCGGACACGAGCTCCGGAGATCGCTGCCCCGAGAGACTCCTTCCCAGCGCGGGTCATCGAACCGCGCCGCTGAGCAAACGCCGCCTGGTTGCGGAGTGACATCACCTCACGGCGGCAAATGACCTGCAGGAAGGATCGCCCCTTCCCATCCCCCTTTCCCCCAGCCAGCCGGCTCGATCTGGCTAGCTCGCTTCCGGTCATTCTTCGCCGTTATACCTCATCGAAGTCTTACGACGCGCGGCCACTTCCACCGTCGAGGCAGAAGGGACATCAGTGGACTATGCTGATAACGTTGTTGCTGCAAGACGCATCAAAATGGCAATGGTGTGAACCCTCAAGCTGCCGCATACGCCGCAGCCAGCCTATAACATGCAAGTGCGTTCCAGTTTCCACACAGCATCGCCCTCGTCACGATGAATAGCGAGTACCTGCTGGTGAGTTGGCAGTTTGCCTGAAGCGACATCTCTCCGACACATCCCTGGCTGCTGGCAGCCCCGGTCTCGTGCGGCACAGGAATGCGGGTCATCCCAGCAGGCGCGCAGCCAGCAGCGCAGGGTGCTCCGTTACCGATGCCCTCGTGTTACGGTCAGCGACGGCTGCGGTCGCGGCGGCGCTCTCCGCCGGCCTGCCGCGCTGCCGTCCATACGGGACGGCTCATCAGGCGGCGCCGGCCGCCCAGCTGCTCCAGTTACTCCAGATAGGCCCGTTAAGCGGCTCACTGGCGCGTGCGCTCACTGTCAAGTGTCGTGATGGCGGCCAAATGGACGGCCTGCCAACGGTGATGCCTCAATCGAGTGGCTAAATGGGGCTGGAGCATATGGAGCCGTGGCGCGCCCGGCGTCTGGCGCGAGGCTGCTGGCGTAGCGAGCGGCAGATGACTCGTCTGGCGCTTGCGACTCGTCTGAGTCAAAGTGCTCACCATGTGTTGCTCTTCGTGTTGTTCGAAGTGGTCTGGAGCTGGTGTGGGAACGAAGCCGTGTTCCAGCTTCGAATGTGAAGCCGAAGCCAAGACAGTGACATGAGGCCGAAGTCGAAACTGAAGCCGGTGGCCTCGAAGCTTGAAACTGTGAACCCGAAGAAGCCAATGGTCTGCTTTTTTTTAATTCGTGAAGCCAATTCCGGAGTTAGTTGTTCTCGAATGTTGAAACTACGAAGTCAAAGCTGAAGTCAGTGGCTTCGAACTTAGAAAACGCGGAACCATAGCCGGACCTTTTCATTTAAAATCACGGCGTCGAAGGCGAGGCTGAACCTGGCGTCAAACGCTATTTGGCAAAACCAAAAGCGTTTCCCGTGTGCTAGATCGAACAAGAAAATGCCATCATGGTTTCACGTACTGATTGAGACAAGTTGTTAACAACACCGCAGGCAGTTTTTCCACGCTATGGTCCTTGTCTTGTGTGTTGGTGTGTGCACAACGTTTCGGACACCTAATCGTCCGCCCGTTATCAGGCGTTGATTGGTCCTGAGAATCACCGGCTGATTGTGGCTTTCAGCGACGTATGCGTGCGAACGCACATGATAGATGTCATTATAATTGATTTGTTATTCGGAGGGGAATCTTGTCGCTCTGTGCTACTCCTCCACACACGGCAAGTATCAATCGGCTTCAGACTAAGATCTTCCCTGACAAGTTCATAATTCCTGCTTGTGAAGAATCCGCCAGAGTCCTTCGTTCTCTGACCGCCAGAGTTGAACGTACGGGTAATTTGGTAATGGCCCATGCCTGTGCACCCGTGCAATGCACCCAGCATTGATCACCTCTGGCAGCTGCACCTATCCTTGGCCACCTCACGGGCAAGTGCCGCACTTGCGACCACAAGGGCGCGTTCGACGGCTGGGTGCGACTTCGTCCGTGACGACGCGCACAGTCGAGCGGCCAGGACCTCCGGCTGGAGCCCGTCACGATCCAACATGATCCTGGTCACGGCTGGCTGGTTCCGCAGGCCGGCCGGGCCGGCAGAGGTCACGGCCATCGGGCCGCGCCTGCTGGGGCGCGCCTGCTGGGGCGCGCCGGAGGCTCGCCGTCGCCACTGAAAGGCTCGCGAGTGCGGGCGGCGACCGGTGGACTGAGGCGACCCACGGACAGGGGACGTGCGGGGAATGGCTGGCAGGACGGAGGGGAGGAGACGGGTGGGATAGGTCCTGAAAACCACGGACGACTGGCGTACGTCCCATGTCCGGAACTGATGGGCTAATATTTTGCGATAGTCCAACATGACCAGATGACTTAGTTTCTGGGTGATGTCGAAGGAATGCTTGTGGGGTCCTAGAATGCACCGCATCCACAGGCGTTGATTCAATCGATACCAGCTTGCGGTGACCGGCAAAACCACAAATAATGAGAAGAAATGAGTATATAAAGTCCCTTACTATCAAATCATGGCAGTCGTAGTCGAAACAATGAGCAAATTTCCCACTCATGAATCCTGACGTGCGACACGCTCTCTTTCAGAGTCGATGACCAAGTCGCAGTTCCCGGTGTTCACCATGTACGTGCAGAAGATGTGTTACGCTGACGCGCCCAAGTGCGGCAAGGCCTGGGCGTTCGAGCGTGTGCAGAACTACACGCTGGCCGACGTGGCCAAGAAGACTGTGCAGGTGGAGAGTCGGCTGGCGTGCGAGAAGGCTTGCCTCGCCGAGACGGAGTTCGTCTGCAGGTCAGTCACGTGCTCTTCCGGACAGGCGACCGATGTCATGCGCGCCTGGGATGGTTATGAGGCTGAGTGATGCATGCATACAGGTGCACCACGTATCGTGGGTTGTTAAAAGTTCAAATCCCGGATTTCAAAGATTTGTGTTGTATGTAACCTGATTGTGAGTTGCTGACCTACACATTGCAAGTCAGTCTGGCAGCATTCCGAGCCAACGGTTATCCCACCCCGGCCTGGTTTCCTGTAGCCGCGCCGATCTTATCAACAGGGCCTCGTCCCACACCCAAAACTGACTCGCCGGCCAGACTGTAAACCCGACCCACACTAGCGGCACTGATGTGATCCGTCGAATCGGGTCACCTGGCCATAACCGGCCGGACCGGAGCCGAAATTCCGCGCGCGTCCGCCGCCCGACCCGGAGCGGCCCGGAGCGAGCCGGTTTGGCCGACGTAACGCAGAGGTCACCAAGTTCAGGCGTGGCGTCTTCCGGCCCAAGCCGGTCGCGAGAGAGCGCCCTGCCTTCATCCGGCTCCCATGCAGCGAGCGCCGGCGTCCTGCCTTCAGCCGGCTCCCATGCGGGCCGCGATGCGCGCTGGCTCCGGCGACCGGTCCGCATGGCCGGCTGACCGCTCGGCGCCGGTGCTCACGGGGCGGTAGCGCGCGCGACACGGTGACCTACCGCTCGTCTTAGTCGCGATCGGGCGCCGCACCTCGCGCGATGCGCAAGGGACCAACACGCCAAGCGCGGCGCCTCTCCCCGCCGCTGGAGAGCGGCACCGTTACAAGTCCGGCCCGGGCGCCGCGCGGCGCGCGCTGTAAAACCGGCGGTGGAAATCGTTAATTTGCGCCGTCTGCGCGCGACAAAGGCCGCCCGGCCGCAGCGCGGGGACCGGGAGGACCGAGGCCGGCCACGCAGCGGGCCGGCTAACGGTGAGCGGCCGGGTCAAGCGGCCGGCGGCGACCGTTCCGGTCGCCCAGCCCGTCCGGCGCAGTGCACCCCGGCAGAGAAATTCCGGACACACTTCAGTCACGCCGCGGCGGCGGATAACGCGCGCGAGGTGTCCGTAACGGTGCCGGCCGAACGGCAAAAACGCACCTTATTTCGGTGTGCGCGCTGACATGGCGAATCCGAACCGCTACGAAGCCCTCATACATAAAATTACCGGCCGACGCGCTACACTAGGCGGTCTGTGGGTGGAGAGCGGCGGCTTCATGAATCACTGCGTGTGACGAATGTCGATACAATCGATCTTTCCGCGCACGCAGCGCATCCAAACGGGTGCAGTGCCGGTGATCCATGCAGCGTTCGCGGCGGTAAGATTTCACGGGCGCTGCCACCATAAATATGTCTGAGGTCACTGTACCATGACTTGCTGTACATCATGTTTTGAACCTCCAAGCCATGTCAACGCCACAGTTCTTTGCTTCAAACGGTGAACAGGTTGTCCTTACGAAACCAGAAGCGGAGCCGTAGTTTGTATGGATGGGCTTCCTCGCGCTATGACGCCATGCTGCACCATGTCCACTTGTGCATGCGCAGGCATAACACTGCTGAAATCGGCCATCCGGTCCGGTCCCCATTGCGTTGATTTGTCGCTGTGCGTCAGTATGGGCCGCGTCCGTGCGGCCGCTGGATCGAGTCGCGTGCCTCGGCGGCTCGGCTCGACTCGCGCTCTGACCGCGCGCTCGCCTCGCCCCCAGGTCGGCCGCCTACTCGGACGAGGCGGGCTCGTGCCAGCTGTCGGACATGGACCGCCACACCACGGCCGGCATGGGCCTGTTCCGCGAGAGCGACGGCATCGACTACCTGGAGAACAACTGCGTCGACGAGCCGGTCAAGCTGTGCGAGTTCCAGCAGATCAGCGAGCGCATTCTGAAGACGGTCGACTCGGTGCACCAGGAGGTCGAGTCGATCGAGGCGTGCCGCGAGTTGTGCCTGACGGCTAGCTTCCGCTGCCACACGTACGACTACGGCGACACGGGCGACAAGGTCTGCCGGCTCAGCCATCACTCCATCGCCACGCTGACGCACATCGAGGAGGCCTACCTGCAGATCCCCGGCTCCACCAGCTACGAGCTCAGCTCCTGCTACAACGTCACCATCGACTGCCGCGCCGGCAACATGGTCGCCCGCATCAAGACCAGCAAAGTGTTCAACGGCAAGATCTATGCCAAGGGCAACCCCAACACGTGCGTCACCGACGTGAACGGCAGCCTGGAGTTCGAGCTGACCATGGGCTACAGCGACCTCGAGTGCGACGTGAAACGCGACGGGCCGGGCAAGTACCACAACGACGTGGTGTTGCAGCACCACGACCGCATCGTCACCTCGGCCGACCTGGGGCTCAGCGTACACTGCCAGTACGACCTGAGCAACAAGACGGTCAGCAACGAGGTGGACCTCGAGGTCAAGGGCGACATCCAGCCGGTGCTGGAGGAGGAGGCGGTGGTCGACTCGCCGAACGTGCTGATGCGCATCACCGACCCGGACGGCAGCGAGGTGCAGGCGGCCAGCGTCGGCGACGCGCTCAGCCTGCGCTTCCTGATCATGGACCCCATGTCGCCGTACGAGATCTTCGTGCGCGACTTGATCGCCATGGACGGCTCCAACAACAACGAGATCCTGCTGATCGACGCCGACGGCTGCCCCACCGACGAGAGCATCCTGGCGGCGCTGCTGCGCGTCAACGACACCAAGGAGCTGGCGTCCGCCTTCGACGCGTTCAAGTTCCCCACCTCGGACGTGGTGCAGTTCCGCGCACTGGTCACGCCGTGCTTGCCGCGCTGCGAGCCGGCCGTCTGCGACGTGCGCGACTACGCGGGCAGCCTGCGTCAGACCGAGAGCTACGGCCGGCGCCGGCGCAGCCTCGACCGCGTGCGCCGCGCCGCCGAGACCGACGAGCTGCTCGTCGTCCAGTCGATCCGCATCGACGACAAGTACGCGGCGCGGCGGCGCGGCGCGCCGGCCGGCACGCCCCGTCTGGACGGCCCGGACGCTGTCGAGACCACGGCCGACGGCTTCTGCGTCAACACCATGGGCCTGGTGGTGGGCTGCTCGCTGTTCCTGCTGGCGCAGCTGGCCGTGATCACCGCCTGGATGTACGGCTGCCAACGACGCCGGCGCAGCAAGCTGGACGACAGCTACCCGGAGACGACAACCAGCAGCCTGGCCCAGCTCTACGACTCGGGGTACTCAGCGCACCGCGCCTGAGCGGCGCTGACGCCTGTTGTCCATCTCTACGGCCGCCGGCAGCGAGCGCCGCCTCGGCTCGACCGTTCGCCTGTGGCGGGCCCGCCTCGCTGCTGCAGGCAGCCGTTATCGAGCACGTGACAGCGGATGAAGACGCAATCCAGCAGGTGCCGACACGGACCGGGGCCGCCTGCCGCAGCCTCGGGTGGCCCTCTGGTGAGCTCCGCTCGGAAGGCACGTTGTTCGACGGCGACAGCTGACCCACTCACGTTTCAAGACCATGGGGCATTGATGGCATTTGGAGCCAAACGTTTATTTTAGGCACGAAGGACTAGAGAATGTTTTACGTTGATTGTAACCATGAGCAGCTTTGCGTGCTTTTAAGTGGCATTATCGTCCCGCGAAATGTGCATCGGTTTGGTCCGGGAGGGAATGCAGGGTAACGTTTCGATAGACGCTCTTCTGTGGACGACTGGGTGGGAAGGGCAAACGGACCACCCGCCAGTACATTATCAGAAGCATGAATTTCACGTCCAGCACCTTCAGAACACCGGCGGCAACAAGAAGAGGACAGCTTTGAGCACCATCTGCGGTCATGTTTCCGCCATTATTCTACAGCTCACGCCCAATGTTTTGTTGTTTTGTTAACGATTTGAGCAATCTGGCTAAGGTCGGTTATTGCTGGTTTCGCCAATTTTGACTGGAGTGGTAGTCAACCTATGTCAGACTGTTTCAGACTGACCAAGCATTTGATTGGTCGATCTCCTTTGGCAGTTTGACTTTGTTGGCTTCGAGCGGCTACCTTGATATTTCTTAGGGTGATCTGTAATATCAAAATGTCCTCGCGGTTGCGCGGCACTTTTCCAACGGACGTGGTTATGCAAGCTGAACGACCAGGCGCTCTTCCACCTGTTCCTAGAACGTGCTGGATTTGCCGCCTCGTCGTCGCTTGAATGCACGTCCTATACGGCACTGAAGCGATGCGCGTTGTTGCATACCTAAGTTAACTGATGTGTGCGTGTGTGCGTGTGGTGTGCGACAGGAGCATCGAGAAAACCGAGTCTCGCTCGTGGTGCATTGCGCTGTTGAATGACCTCCATACCAGTGGCATTAAGAGGTGGTAATGTTCTATTGTTGAGTTAGGTGTACCGTGAGCGCTGCTCACCCTGTCATGCGTTCAATACAGCTCATCTGATGCTTTGTTCGTTCCATACCGATACTAGGCCGCTTTGTGTGCCTCATGATGGTTAGATCATGATAAGCCCAGACAATGACAAAACGTAAACAAGGGGAGCATCATGGTCGCACAGCGCACTCAAGGCGACAAGCCTGAACGCCCAGGTTCATCCAGTCCAGGTGGTCCTATAACGCTGGGTGTAACCGTGTCCTGACGGCATATGGGCACCATATGGGTTGCCTCAGTACACTCCTTTGTGTGGCTCTGGTCCCCCTAGTGTTTTTGTGCCCTCCAAAATTTATTAACGTCTTGAATATGTTTGCTTGAATATCAGCAAACTAAAGAGAAGATAAGCATCCCACTTTGCCTACCATCTTTGGGCATTATACGATGACTGACTGCTACTCTGCACATGTGAAAGACTACCATCACTGATGGCTACAGATACAGATACAGATGTGTGTTCACCACTGGGTTTTAGTAAATATCGGTTATCATCTGGTACGTTATGAACAGGCAAACAACTTAGGGTATCACCTGAGTATTACCGCCGGTAAACACGACACGCATGCGTCCAAGACAAACAAAAAAAAATACTTACGTGGTGCCTGAAAGCACTACATTCTTAACGGCGGAACAAAGTAACCGATTACGCGGATTACTGTCGTATCAGTTGACCATTGTGACCTCACCACTATACGGTCGACACCACCGGCAGCAGTTCGGGGTGAAAGTGTACCAGGTGATGTTCACTTCTGATGTTCTGGCCGTAGAGCTCTCTTGCGCATGGTCCCATCGAGTCGATCGGGGCCTCGTTTTACAAGTTTTCTGGAGGGGGAATCATCCTCACTAGTAACCATCAAATCTCCCTCTCCCCCTCACCTCCCCTCCTCCAGTGAAACACAAAGTTCCACTCCAGTGAAAAACTTTATATGCCGACTGTTGACACCCGGCGGGGTCTTTGAAATGGTTCAGGCATAGACCGGAGTCGCGGTGGAATCTGAACCACTCGGACACGATTGCGGGAACCGGCAACGATATATCAGTATATCAGTATGTTAATTAATTTCATCCGACGTCGATCATTGAGATAGATAGATAGATAGATAGATAGATAGATAGATAGATATATGTATATATATATATATATATATATATATATATATATGTGTGTGTGTGTGTGTGTGTGTGTGCATATGTACGTATATGTATATATCAATGATCGACATCTGAATCGTTGGCTCACGACTGAAAATCACATTGTCAGCGCCTGAGGAGTAAGTGCAGTTAATCTTGTCCCATAAGGCGAAAGCTAAATGAACGCCAGTGATCATTTAATTCAACATCATGCATGACATGGCAATCCAGAGCATGCTATGCAAGCATGCTTCCTCGCCTTAGTTAGATTTTATCTAGGGCAGTGCATGCAGTGGTTGAAAATTATGTATATATGTATGCACACACGCACACACACACATACACACACACATACACACACACACACACACATATATATATATATATATATATATATATATATATATATATATATATATATATGGTGCATTATATACGCATATTTGTCAGGCAAATGAGGCAACAATGGTAACGGAAATAACCGAGGGTGCCTGCATTCTATTTAAGATTTCAAATAGCGACTAAGACTTCAGACAAATAGCGTAATAATGGTAATTGCTCGAAAGTTGAATGAAAAGCAAACAATGCGTGAAACGGCAACGTTTTCATAAAATATTTGGTTACGCAAAGCGCCGACGACAAACATAGGTACGCAGCTTCTTTCAAAACGCACTTGCCTTCGTCCTGCATACAGAATCGGATCAAGCCGGCTACGTTGAATGAAGGGCAAATCAGTGCTCGTTGACTAATGCATACCTAGAGCGACTGCTTCTCCTAAAGCTGACATTCTGCTGTGATGTGGTGTAAGGGAAGATGATTCGACAACAGGTGTTGTGACAGACATCCTGCCTGCTTTGCACACTTATTAGAATTGGTGCTGACCGTTAACATACAGCGATCCATTAACAGTCATGCGATCAGTTCGCAATCAGTCATGCTTGGGACAGGCAGTACAGGGCAGTGACGGCCGACGGTGAATGAGAGCAGGGCCCAGACATCAGATATTCAGAAGAAGAGTCCTTATTCCGGGGCTGGCTTTTTCAAAAGAAACGCATGCTTTATGACTTTTGTTCGCATTGTTTTTGACAGGCAGTGTTCGAAGCCTCTGAACTTATTTCTGCCTAAAACGCAGCGACAAAAACTAATCTCATGAAAAGCAGTCGGCAAAATTAAAGCACACGGCAATACAAAGGCAACCATCATCGAGAACGTAAGTCATTCGAGAGGGCAGGATTGTATGGTGTAGATTCACACATCAGTCGAGAAGGTAAGATTGTGCACATGAAGACAACGACTGTAGGTGTATGTTAACATTTACCAGAACATTTACGTATCTCCCAAATGTGATCCGTGAATCAACTTTCGTCCTGATTCGCCGTTTTTCATAACGCGGACTGATAATGTACTCGATCCGACCGCCCCTGCCGTTTCCAAACTAAAAAAGATAGAGCTAGCCAGGATGTCAGGGATTGGTATCAACGAGATCTCACGAGTGGTGATAAGTTTTATGCTACTAGGCCAACAGTCAAACCCAGTATGCGTGTTCGAAGGTCAAATGCTCCCAAAAATTGCTCTTCAACTATCGTAAGTGCATCCATGCTTTGTATTAATTCAAATTTGGAACCGGCTTGTGTCTTGTTTGATTCTGAGTCAATGGTGCATATTTTTCTGCGTTTTGACAACATATTTATGACGCACAACTCCGTTAATGTAACAATGACGGCCCGGTGCGCGCATTCCGCGAGATCATCGGCTTGCGCCTGCCGCGCGCTCAAGCCTTAGATGGCCATGTAGTGTTACTCAAAACCGCCGTTACTCCAAAACCAGAAATGGTAGCGAGCAGAGATACGTTTTTGGCGTCAAAACACACGCAATGAATGTCACATAGGCCAATGAAAATTTGGGCACAGTTGCAAAACGTGCCGGAAAGGTGCCTTCAAAAGGCCTCAGGAGGCTCGCATCGCCCCTTCTCCCATCACAGCGAGGGTTAAAAGCGGACAAAATGTTCCCTCCCCCTCCCCCCCCCCCCCCCGCTCCGCCCCACCTCCTCAGTCACCGGGCTCGCCTCCCAGGAAAACTTCCTACTTTCTTAAGTGTACCCAAAGCCTGCCCCCCATACTTCTTGAAACGGTCCTACGCCAGTGCTTAAAAATCGACCTTCCCAGCAGCGCTCGTCAGTCTTAGTACCGAGTCGTCAGCACTCATGTGCACTCCTCACGTTCGTATAAGCGTACCGTGAAAATTTCAAACTTCTTCTGTCCTCTGGCTAGCCTGCACTCCCGTCAGCAAAGAAAAGACGACAGTCAGATCGAGAGACAAATGCACATTTTCGCAAAAAAGTCGCGTATGGGACCCTTTTTAACATGGAGCCAGTGCAGACGCCGAGCAGTGGTATGCGGTGCATCGTGATTTTGAAACTTTCCTCATTTTTCAGGTGGTGTCTAGCCTTGGCTCTAGTGAAAATATTTTGATTAGCAAAAGATGCTGGAAGATATAAGCTGCGCTAAATTTCAGCATTACAGCAAGGTCGAAGAACTATGCAAATTGTTCCTTTATGTTAACCGGGAATTAAACGGTCTAAATCCCCCGTGATTTGCTCATAAAACAGGTTCCGGAGTCGCTGACGCGCTAGAGATTGCCTGTAATGATAGCACGTCCACCAGCGCATGCGGTGTGGTATACTGCTCGTTCTTTCGCTTGCATCCAGCCCAGCTGATCGATAACATCAGAGATGTGGTCGTGACGGCGCCGACCGCTGAAATCTCTGATGCAAAAGTTCATGGTTTTCTGCACGCGTTGGATCTCAGAAACACTGCACGACCTATATACCTTCATGCAATAACGGACGTCAAACCAGCCGGTCGTTTTAGCGTGTTCGCAAGCAAAACGTGTCTGGCGTGGCCGAGAGCGATCAGGATGTTTGAGCATTTTGTAGTGACAAAGTCGCTACAAAATGATGGAATGATTCGTACTCTTTACCTGCGACAAAATTGCAGAGCCGTCAGAGATCCGAGCAATAGTGACACTGTCGGGCACGCGAGAGCTCAGGCCGCTCACAAACAGTATGTGCAAGACGCGGCTGAGGCCCCCCCCCCCCCCCTCCCCCGCTCCCCTGAACTAATTCTCTCCTCCAACCTATCAGTGCGGGCTAACAGCAGCCTCCAGTCTTTCAGTTCCACAGACGGCAGTCTCCCCTGCAGCCCGTCAGCTCCGCCCTCCTGGCACCGTCACGCCGAGCAGTTGGGGTTTTCCGCTCTTCAGTTGGGGTTCATAGCTGGACTATCGGCCTCCTAGCCTGGGCTCATTGTGCCCCATACCCTGGCGTTGCATACAAAACTAAAACGTTGCAGTCCCGACTGTGCTCCTTCTTTAACAAGCAGGCGGGGTAGACGAAGCGTGTCAGAACAACGAAATGGCAACTGCACATAGGCGACCCAATACCTCTTCGACCACTTATATCATGACGTTCACTACTGCACCTGTACTACCAGGGAAGATCTCAGGCCACATGCGACGCAAGGATGGAGAAACTCTACATGAGGTAGAAATCACAAAACGGCGGTTGTCAGTCCGCTTTGGGAAGTGCATGACCTCCCAAAAATTCTGCGTAAGTCGCCTCTAAATCTGCGAGCAGCGAACTGACTTATCTAGGGCATATCTAGATATCTAGGGCATGCCATGTGAAATCCAATAATCGAGCAATGACCGAAGAAATGTGGGATTTACATCACCGCGGAATATACAACAGTTATAACCACGAATGGGTAGCTTTTAACATTTTCCAACAAAAAGTATATTAGCTATAGCCTATGACTAATTATTCGGATTTCTACTTCCGAGGTACTCGTAAATCGGTGGCCTGGTGGCCATCGGGGGAACTACGGATC